CCAATGCCTCAGCTGCCAAGCGAACTAAATTCTTTATCTTTTGTGGTGTGCTGTGAGCTGAGGTACCTGAACAGTTCATCTAGCTTTCAATACACTTTCTCGATGTCGATTTTGCATAGTCTGGTAGGAAATTTGAGTCCCCGTTACCCGACTTAGCACATTTTGTAGCTCCCTGGCTGTTGAAAATCTGCATCTGAGGGCACATAGACAAAAACACATGTTCTCTTGGCCTGAAATGGACCTCCGATGCCCTTGATCTAGCCTCCTATGGAGAGTTTCTAGTTTTTGATAGCGATAGTCTTGAAACCACTGATTGACTTACACCAAACTTTCTCTAACACCTTCCATGGTACGTGAACAGGCGGGACAAAACAGAAAATGAGTGAACTGCACCTTGTAAGTTATATTGACAACTGGTTAGTACTCAGAATCATGCTCTTTTCCATTCCTGTTTTGGTATGTTTACAAAAAGATAAAATCTTCTATGATAATCCAAAGCCAAGAGACAAAGACAACCTCTGTTGTTTCTCATCATAATTGTCCACGATCATTACAAAGTAGTGATCCTTCAATTGCTTTGAGGATTGTATATGTTTCAAAAATTGAAGTGAAATAGAAATGCAATCCTTTATCATCAATTCCTCGGAAATTGCTATATTCCATTTTTCAGTTTGTTACAGAGATCGGTATATGATGCATTGTATACAGTAGCAGAGTGAGAGCTGCAACATGGATAATATGTACACTGATTTGAAGATTCTCAACTTAGATAGATTGTTGAAGTCAGAATGGTGTAAAATAATTACCAAAATTTTAAACAACCAACAAATGTGTGGTTCAAAAATTTTGGCAATACATGATGTGCATAACAATGGGACCATATCACAGAATATTTTGTACCAGTCCTGAAAGAAGCAACATAGGATTAACTCTGTCACTGATGCAATGAAAACTCAAAATGATTCACCGCAGAGTGTGATTTATTCAAAAATATTGAAAAACTGAAAAAGCATTCGAATTATTGATTGAAAAAATATTGTTAATATTCCCACTTTATTTATTGTATGTTTATGCACTAAACAAACTGTTTCTAAAATGAATAGAGCATACAGTGATAAAATTTGGTTTGCTACAAACCAAGGCCTACAAGAATCTCGCCGCCTGGCTCTACAGAGAAATCTTAATGACCTTTTCTGCAGAATAAAAATCGACTCGAGTCGAGTTTGATTACTTACCCCCAGAAAGGTATTCCATATCTTAGATGTGATTCTTTTGTGATAATCCAAAGCCAGGAGACAAAGACAACCTCTGTTGTTTCTTATCACAATTGTCCACGATCATTACAAAGTAGTGATCCTTCAATTGCTTTGAGGATTGTATATGTTTCAAAGATTGAAGGAAAATAGAAATGCAATCCTTTATCATCAATTCCTCGGGAATTGCTATATTCCATTTTTCAGTTTGATAGAGAGATTGGTATTTGATGGATTGTATACAGTAGCAGAGTGAGATCTGCCAACGTGGATAATGTGTACATTTGAAGATTCTCAACTTAGATTGTTGAAGTCAAAATAGTATAAATAATTTCCAAAATTTTAAACAACCAACAAATGTGTGGTTCAAAAATTTTGGCAATACATGATATGCATAACAATGGAACCATATCACAGAATATTTTGTACCAATCCTGAAAGAAGCAACATAGGATTAACTCTGTCACTGATGCAATGAAAACTCAAAATGATTCACCGCAGAGTGTGATTTATTCAAAAATATGGAAAAACTGAAAAATCATCTGAATTATTGATTGATTATTGTAAATATTCCCACTTTGTTTTCGAGACCAGTATTCAAACACAGAATGGAGTACCTTTTCAACTATAAAATTTGTGAAAAACCTTTTTCTGTATAAAGATTGTGTATCTCCTGACGACTGTTTTTTTTAAACAATCGTCAGAGTATTTTTCTTCTGGAAAAAGTTTTTTCCATAGATCCATTTCACGTCAGAGCTTTCAATTCTACCTACCATTTAGTCCTAATGAATAAAAGTCACTTTTAATAAATCACGATGCCCATACGGATACGTTCCCCAACTACTTCCGGAATGTTACGGAAATCTGCGTGTGAAAGGGAATAAAGCTCGGGTGCTCATTGTTTTCCAACAGTTGGATTGTCTTTTCTACGAGTTTCGGATTGTTCGTGTCCATTGTGAAATTTGAATGTAAATAGGAAAGCGATCCTCGTGCGGGGTCAAGTTATTTAGCCCCGAAACCCTACAGATCCCTTGTGCGTATTCTATACTTATAAATACTCTAATCTGGGATTAACATAAATTTGATACTGTGTATAAAGTTGATTGAAACGTTGAGCAGGATATATGACGATAGTCCAGTGAAACTTAGTGTTGTTTAAAGGACATGACGTACAAATGTGACAGGTCCCGTAGTGCTACACCAGAAATTTTTGGTTTTCACGATTCTCACATTTTATTTGTGAGAGTTTCATAGGCATAAGGTATGTCAGAAGTTATCATCAATGAGAGAGAGTGTGTTCGGCGAGTCTTGGCCTACACCTGCCGATATAAAGGAGATGTCTCTCAGTGACATGTGCACCTTCCTGGAAAGAACAGGATGGACGATGACCTAGGAGGACAACTCTTCGGGAGGATGTACAATGGGTCACATGTGGCCTAAGTGCTATGGACCTACACTCAACTTACCTACTCTACGAATACAGATACAGAGAGGCACTAAGTTTCTCTACATAAACAAATCCTCCAAATCTATGTAGTTGAAGGATCAACATCACACAGCGCTATTTCGTTCTTCCAAAGTCTCATCAGTGATGCAAGGCTGAAGTGCTCAACTCCGTCATGATGGATAAGCCTGGAACTGAAGGTGATGACATCTTTTTCTGCGACTACGCCATCTATCGGATTCATAGAAGACTCAATTCTTGAATATCAAAGATTAACGACGTTCCCAAAGACGGTCAATTCTATAGCCGACCTCCATGCTAGCCCCACTGATAGGACCTAAGCGGGTCGAAACAGCGCTGTCTCTGAAGATTAAAGGTGCAGTGGAAGAGAGTGGACACATTTTTTTCTGCGGTCAATGTCTCAGCTTGGCTTCGCAACTGACCACCATGGGGAGCCATATTCGAGAATAGTCTTCTTTAGATCCTATAGATGACTCTTCCTTTGGAAAGATGTCGTCATCTTTACTTATATAGTATCGAGAGCTTTAGAGTCCACTTCGATCAGGTTAGGTTGGGTTAGGTCCAAAGTGAGTGGGTCTATTCGAACCTACACCACAACCCGCAAGGGTTTATTGTGGCTCACACATATTCACAGTCAGCCAAATGAACTGAGCTTCTTAACGAAACCGATTAGTTTGTATGGTAAGTGGTCTTTCAGGTCAGATGGAAATAGTACGGCTCTGCCAAACTCTGAAAACCTGATTCGGTCCTCAGCGGGGCAGGCACAAATTACGTGCTCTGTTTCATCATTTTCCAAACAGAGGCGACACACACTGTCTTCCGACCGTCCAAGTCTCTGCATATGATGATTCAAATGACAGTGACCTGTGAGAAGGTCTATTAGGCATCATAGATCCCTACTATAGTCCAACAACTGTTTGGTATCAAGGGGTGAATAAATCCTTGGAGTGAGCCAGTCCTGTTAGTCTGTCAGAAGACCGTAAATCTTCTTTCGATTATTCATTCATCCAAAAATCTATGAAGACTGAAGGTGGAAGATCAAATTCATATTTTATAAGTATATGGAGGGTTTTTGGAATACAAACTGTACAATTCATCCACTTCCGCGTCCCTTGCCATCCAGAAAAAATCAAAAAAATTCTACTCATAGGGGTAGAAAATTAAATTTCCTACATCCCAAATTGTATTTTCAGAACAGAACAAATAGAACGTCGCTTTCACCTCCACAACTATTATACCCTTTTTCAAGAAACACCAACCTCAAAGCTACAACTCTTATAAAACTGTCTAAAACTCCGCAATAGACTAAAAATCCGCCATTTTTGAATACATGCCTAAGGAACTACAGTAAGCACGATACACCTAACATAGTCTTTATACAAAGATTCAGAGAACTGATGAATAACCAGCAATTCGACAAAATCCCTTATACTGACGCATCCAAAGAAGTTGATGGTAACGGATGTGCTGTTACTACACTCGATGCAATAATAGCAACATACAAACTTTCCAATGTCTGTAGTATACACACAGCTGAACTATACGGAATATTACAAGCGTTGAGGTTTCCAGTACAAGATAACAGTAAACTTGCCATATGCACAGACTCCCTTTCATCAATATTGTTTATCAAAAATAGTTACTCACATCATCCTTTGGTTCAAGATATCCTCGATACCTGCCACCACCATCGTACCAGAGGTGTCCTTGTGAATATCATCTGGATCCCTTCTCATGTAGGAATTACGAGCAACGAACGTGCAGACCAAGCAGCAAAACAAGCTTGTTCCTCCGAATTTCCTGAGCAGCAAATCCAACTCCACCAATACTTGAAATCAGCAGCTCGACAAATGATGATACAAACATGGCAAACACATTGGAACGCATGTACCACCAAACTACATACAATCCAATCCACAGTTTCGGCGCTGGACCTGCCCCCAATGACAAGAAAGGACAAAAGTTTTATGAGAAGACTCAGAATAGGCCACTCCCGACTCACAAAATCCCCCTACTTGTGAATTTTGTGGTAATGCAAGACTCACAATTGAGCACATACTTTTGAATTGTATACACTACAGCCCAACTCGCCGCAAACACAAACTCAGTGGAACTCTCGAAGACATTCTCGGCCTACCTAACCAGCTCAGTGTCGTGATACAGTTCCTCAAGGACTGTCGACTGTTTCATTTAATCTGATTTTTTTGTTTTGTATTATTATGTAAATGTATCACAGATCCCGTGTCAGTGGCCATTAGATGGTCTACCTTTTCCTTTCGGTAGATTTCTACATGTTCCGTTTCTGGTTCAACCAATTCATCATCTTCACCATGTAAAACAAGTTGAACTGGAGCATTCAATTGATTCCGAGATGAGTTATCAACGAGTCCGCCTTCATCCTCCCCACCAGAATCCTCATCTGTGATCGCACCCTCATTCGGAGGCTCTATGTAAATTTGGTCGGCATCTAAATCATCATTATACGCAATTTGAAGAGCTTCTTCGAGAGTTAGCCCATCGCTAGAAAATAAAAGCGAAATGTGAAAAAGTAGTTCACCGAAAGAACTCGTGTTGCCACATGGCAACATCGAGTTCCAAAGCTTTACGAATTCGAAAGTTTTTGCAAACTCACGTAATTTCTGCCGCCGTTACGTTAATAACATATTCCTAATGCTATCGTTATGATTTTATTTTCGAAAACTGTAACAATCTCTTTGTATTTATACTTACGTAAACTTGATATCCATTTTTGAGAAGTCTTCTTGATATTTCCTAACGAAATCACTGGAGGGAACAGACAAACACAACACACGATTCTTTCAACTGACACTGCAACAAACTATTGGCGTGAATACCGCCATCTATGTTTTTAATGAAAAATCTATAGAAATTTGAGCAACAGAAAACTGTTCATTTCTGTTGCCGTATGGCAACACCAGTCCTTGATGGGTTGAAGTGATGAGGTAGGTACTATTTCACTTGAATAAAAATTGAATGGGAAGTTATGAGAAAATCTGAAATAACTGAGCTGAGAACTGAGAGGAAACAAATCTAATCCATATCGACTTTGGTCGATGATGAGGGAATGAAGACATGGTCTTCATTTTCGTCAAATATCTGATCCACTAGATCGATTCATTTCTATTATAGTATTTTCATACTTATAGCATTTTCTTTTGCCATTCATAATTCCATCCTTATCAAATGCTATTTCTTTCAAGGTGTAGCTTATGTTTTACTTGGTCAACTTGAACCATATTCAACTTACAGTACTTAATCATGAACTAAAGCGAGTTATACTAATATTTTTTTTATCAAAGGATAAATTCACATCATATAGATAACCGGGTGTTCATGTTTTTCATATGTGGACCGTAATAATGCCTCACCGATCTCTGAAAAGGAAAAAAGGAATTAGTAGTGTTGTAGAATATTTATTATGTTTCTTACCTACCTTTAAGATGTCATATAATTGTACTCTATCAGGTAGAGCACACAAAACTTTCATAAATGCTATCTTCTACAGATTACACTACTAGTAGGATTCCTGTAAATCAAAAGAGACAATTTTACGTGATGTGTATAAGTAATTCTATTATAAAATTGTACTATATATTGTTACATTTACTCACCTGTTACTGAAGAGTATAATCACTTTAGTTATCATGCATTGATATATCTGTATATATTTTCATCGTTATATTTATGTATTTTCAAGCCTTGGATCGTCTATTTGCGCTGGTGGTGAACTTGAATATTTTCATCTGTCATCAGAAAATAAACAATCGGATGTCGACCTCTAACTTTCAATCAGCTGAAGGATATTTTCTTTCATGTTCCGAGAGCAGATCGGTTAATGTGTTCTGTTCTCATCATCCTTCCACACTCGGTGCGTTCGTTGTTTATTCAACACTACGAAACGTGAATCTCTAGACATGCCATCTGGCGGGTCGAAACAACTACTCTTTTCTTCTAGTAGTCCTTTTGACATTAGGTAGAAGTTCTTGGCATTGCAGTTTTCGTCATTTAAAAACATCCATATATATGTGTATATATAAATTTTATTATTTCCAGTTCAAATCTTAACCTGTCCGAAAATAATGAAACTCAAGGTACTTTGTCTGACGTCACCGTTTCGACGTGAAAAACAGACTCAGAATGTGTGCCAGTCAGAATGCGCTGTAGGTTGATTTTTAAGAAGTTTTTTTGAAATTAAAAAAGAAGGTCCTGTTTTTTGGATGACCGGCGTGACTTCAGAGTGGCGACCCATAAGCACTGGTTTCCTTTGTAAAATTTTTCTTTTGCGATGAGGATATGCTTGCACAGATTGTGATTTTGGTGTTTAGTTTATTTCTGTTGGGAGCAATTTTATCCTCTGAACCCGATAGGTATGTAATTTCAGTATTTAAATCTTGCAAGCTTCCCTTCGCCATTTTGCCTTTTTTTTTGTATGTTGAAATTGGTTGTAACTAAGCCTGTTTCACAGGGTTTTTCCATTGGGGCTTGATGATCTTTACTCACTATAATTTGAGAAGAAATAATCCATTCCTGGAGTTTCCTTTTTCGAGTCTGATTTCAAGAAGTCCAGCACGGGTACCACGTGGTCCTGTTCAACAGCTTCCTGTTGTAATTGTACCGTATCAGTACTTTCAACCGTAGCAGTGTCCCAAACTCTATAGATGTATCCCAGATCCGATGTATAGTTCTATTGAAGTGTTCAGAATGCAGGCTCCATTGCAAGGCAGATTTGATTCCACCAATATAAGCTGATGCATTTGAATCTAGTCTTTACTTCAGCTGGAAATAAATACACCAGGCACCCTGTTTGGCACATCCATCATACACGTTTACCATCACCAATATACCGTCTAAGGCAGAGCTGATTCTGAAGCTCCTTGAAAGGTATAATTTATTCATCATCCATGTAAAGGACAACCATATTCGTTCATAATTATCTTGGGTAGTATCCCAGATTTTGTATATAACTCATTGTATCTTATCATCATTCCACGCCATAAACAAAAATTATTGTAGTAATAAATTATAGTTGTAGATTTTGACTTTCATTTCATAAGGCTCTGTCATTCTCAATATTTTGTTTTCTGGGTTTCATAAAAGCAAATTCTAGTGGCGCCTAACATTTTTTTTTGAGCTATCAAACGATACTTAGTTCAGACTTGAACCCATGCCCAATGCCGCCAGACGAAGAGCTGCCGTTCGCTGTGTGTATATATGATTAAAATTTATGCCACAAACTATACAAATGGAATATTTCAATCAAATGGGTACTTCCTTCAAAAATAAGTAAAAATCAGGTTGATATCAACTACTAGTTTTTTCGTGGGTTTAAAATCGTTTAAACTCCTCTATGAGCAACAACCTAAGACTTCTGCTAGCTCAGAAGAAAGGTTTGAACATGTTTAGACAAGTATTTAATCCCTGACGGGTTAGCCTTTCCAAGAATTGAACTGCCAATTGCTGAACTAATCAAGACACGAATAGCTCCGGAAAAAGCCAAACAGTGGAAACCTTCATACCATAATGTGCCGGCAACAAACAGCCAAGTATTTCAATTAACCCATATTCATCTTCAATTACCTCATGGATTAGTTCATGATTTCAATCTTTAATTTCCTTGAAACATTTCCATTCCCACCAACTAATTAATTTTCTCTAATTTCTCTTTGCTCTACCTCAAAATCTCAAAGAGTAAACGCTGGCGAACATAAGGATTAAAAACAGTGATATATAAAGATATAAAGTACACGGCTCAGACTTGAGTTTTACTGCTCGAATATATTCTGCCGGATTTACAGTTGAGGGATGAAAATTTCTTCCAGTGCGGATCTATTGCGAGTGGTGCGGCTTAGTTCAAGAGTTTACATTTCATGCGCTTCACAGAAAGAATTTATTTTCTGTGGAGAACGAGATATTTTTGAATTGTAATCATTGAGGCTCAACATGACCGATATGGGAAGTGATGCTTGTATGGATTTTGTTGAAACCCCGTTTCGGTTGAATGGATTTCACGAAGGAATTGATGGAAATTGTTCAATCGACTCGTTTTGATAGACATAAATACGTTTATCGAGAAAGTATTTTTGTCTACTATTATCTCTTCATCTTGTTTCATGGATCTAGATTACCGTGCTAGGAATCGCACATCGAAATGTACGACCTTGGTAATCATCCATTCACACACGTTTTCGCTCCTGAGGGTGGTCGTTCGTAAGAAAGCAACAGCTTATTAACGAAAAAAAAAATATTCCAACAGATTTTCTATTCTCCATCTCATCTTCATTTAAATCTGATAACACAGGTCTGCAAAAAAACTAACTTTTCAAAAAATTGTTTTGATTTCGTTAACTTATCTTCATGCAGTTTTTAAAGCTGATTTCAGTCCAGTTGAAACCACTAATTCCTATATTCCTCTAAAGGCAAATTTTCAAGAAAATCGGTTACAGTCGTCCTTAATAGTTGGAGATATCTCTCTGCATTCAGTGTGTCTTCATAAATAAAAAAGCTAATTTTATTGTTCTTCAGAATACAGAAAACATTCAGGTCAAATTTTTCTTGAAAACCCATTTCTTTTGTA